CGGTCACCTTCCCCGTCTCCCTGGCTCGACCTCGGGCTTTGCCATTGTTAAACGCACTGAGATGCTGCCCAGCGTGGAGGGCGCTAGATAAATGCAAGTTGTTGTTGCTGTTGTTGATGTGTCATTCACATGGGTAAAGAGTTTTCGATGCAAACATGATAAATGTCTGGGTAAGCAGTCTTTGTTCCCCAACAACATCTTCTGTAAATAGTCCTCCCATTTTCCTTCAGTCCATGACCAACCATTGTGCTCAAACATTAGGTAGGATTTGTGGTTTTAGACCTTCCCCACGATTACACAGGAGTCACTACAAATGCAGCACTGACAAGCAGCAATGTTATGGTGCTAACCTGCAGTCTCAATTTGCTATACTGTGCAGTCCCAGGCCTTTTTTGAACACCCTTGTAATTTTAATAAGAGCCATATCTAGCTGCATGTATAGAACATGTTTCTGATCAAGGTGTTAGCTTGTCTCAGTTATTAGCATCTTGTCTCTGGATCACAATGTTGAGTCAGGACTTCCACACCCCATGTCAGGACTCTGACACTTTAATGTTGTGCCTCATGTTTCAGTGCTGCATTGTCAAAGGTGACATTTAGTTGAGACACTGAACTGAAGTCCTGTCCGCCAGTTCAAATGGATGTTAAAGATCCCATAGCAGTATTTGAAAAGTGAAGTGAGATTCTCTTGAGTTTCTCCCCTCCCCTGTTATTAAACAACAAACAAAGCCATTAAATTCACCTTGTACCTGAACCTGAATTGCAGAGAAGGAATAAGATTAATAATGAAGTTAAGTTGGTTAAATATTTGGATTTCTTGCAGTACTATTGACTGCAGTGTAGGTGTTAGAAACATTTTTCGAAAGGAATGCCTCAAAGAGTTGCATATTGTGCATGCCATCAAGTGGAAGTACTGGTTGGGTAACAGTACGTGACATGTCTTAGTGGAACTCCCCTAACCCTGAATGATTACATATCATCCTCTTCATGTTTCAATAATTTCAGACTGGTTAGGCCAGAATATTTCTTATTCCAGAACCTAATTCCACTTGTCAGCACTTTTACTTCTTGTGTAATTTAAGGAGAACCTGAAGATATTGATTACTACCTGAAGCTACAGTTGAATCAGATAGTATGGAAGCATTTACAAGGAAATGTTGAGTACTGGCAGCCAGTGGAGCATTGTGAAGATAGCACAAGGAAGTTGGAGCCAGAAGTGAGAATGTGCTGGCAAGAACCAAACAAGATGCCTGCCGTTTTATTTTCAAAGCCAATCCAATTTACAAGCAAGATTACAAAATTGGTTTGGTCCTTTCTGCCATCTGATTTCATCCTTTCAGAACAGCATAGATTTATGAGGATCATACTAGGGCTGGCAGGTTACTGCTGTAAGTCGTCTGGAGTCCTGTAGCTCTGTGGTTAGAGTGCTAGCCTCGCAAGCGAGCGACCTGGGTTTAATTCCTGGCAGGGCAAAATGTTGGGCAAGTTTCCTTATTCCACACGCCTCTGCTTATCTAGCAATAAGTAGGAACCTGGTTGTTAGTCGATTGGCAGATCGCTTTTTCAGGGGTAATAATTCCTTCAAAAAATAAATAAATGAATTGGTCACTCAATCCACAACTGCTTGTGGGACACTGCTGTGCGCAATTGGCTGCCGTGTTTTTGCCCACAAAATATACAGTCAGTATTTCATGCAATATTTCATGACTACTTCATGCAGAGGTTAGTGAGACTGTGGTTCAAACAGACAGTACGGATGCATTTAAGAGAAAGCTTGATGTACAAATGAGAGTGAAGGGAATAGAAGAGTATGGGAGTGGTTAAGCCTTGGGTGGAGACTCATATGGAGTATAAACACCAGCACGGATTAGTTACATGAAATGGCCTGTTTCATTACTGTAAATTCTATGTAAATCTATGTAGAACACCCACCCTAACATCCCCTCCTTTCTCCCCCCCCCCCCCCCCCCCCCCCAATCGTTACATTACACTGCTTGTTTAAATGAATCACGCATCCTGGCCTCCACCTTTCCTGACAATCTGTTCCTATCATTGCTTACCCCTTGAGTAAAGAAAAACTTCCTGGTGTCTGTCCTGAAATTGCCCTTTACGACTCTAAACCAGTATCTTCTTGTTCTACTACCTTGGTGCATCCTAAAATAATAATAAAATTCTTGCATTTTATGTAGCGCCTTATCATGCCTTTGAGACGTCTCAACACGGCAAACAATTACACACAGCAGTGTCCCACAAACAGTCGTGGATTGAGTGACCACATTTTTTTTGAAGAGATTATTACCCCCGGAAAAGGGATCCACCAATCGACTAAAATCAATCTCATCCCTGCCCAGGAATTGAACTCAGGTCCTCTCGCTTGCAAGGCGAGTGCTCTCACCAAGTTATAGGACTTCACTCCAAGTATTCATCTAGGATTTTTCAATCCTATTTTATTTGAAGTAGATGGCTTGTCAAATAATTGTGCTGTATCACAACTGATTGCCAAAATCCACCCTATTGTGACCATTTTGGTTGTTCTTGGAAAATGCAGCCTTCTTTTAATGTTTCTACAAACATTTCCTGCATGCCAGGAGCTGCTTAAATTTTTTTNGAAATGTTTGCTAGAGGAGGGGTTCCTGTCAGCCACTTTTATTGTAAACCACAATCATGTTATTGAATGGAAATATTGAGTCATATGGAATAAATGCTCCTAACTTGAGTTACATTGTTTCACTTCAACTGGTTGCCAAGACTTCAGGGCAATATTTTGCCTGATCTGAAAGCCAAACAGAATAATTTAGTGCTCAGGATACCTTGCATACTTCACCTGTACTTTATGTCCCTGAGTAATGACTTAAATCTATTGGGTTGGGAACGGAGAGTAATCAAAAAAGCATACCTAAGATGCAATAGGCAATAGGAAACGCCCTTCTAGGTAAATAAAACATTCCTCAAATATTTGTTTTATAACAATTCATAGTTGAATTCCTAATTACACCTAGTACCTTGAGGTATTATAGTCTGTAAAATAAATGCGCTGCTAAATATAACAGCATCTAGCGGATCCTTGTTGTAATAATGATTGCCCTTTGTATCCGAAGATGGCCATTCACACAATGAGAACACTTGGGTGCGTGAATTTGTTTATAGTGTAGACGGCCGCACAGCAACCCTAGTCTTGGGTAGCAAGCACTGTAACCTGGTGACAAGGAATAGCCAAGAAGACCAGACCACTTGCTAACACACTGGCAGGATCCATTACCCCCTAAAAACAATCTGCCAATTGACTAACGACTGGACTTCTCCTTACTGCTAGGTAAAGAGAATAACTTGGAGCAAGGTAAGCAAGGTAAGGTTTCACCCCAGTTTGCAATTGAACCCGGGTCCTCTCGCTTGTGAGGCGACCACACTCACCACTACCCTACTGGACCCCTACCTTGTTGTAATATAACTTTCGGGATTCACATGTTATAATGAAGGCCCTGCAACATCCAACCATGCTCTCTCTTCGGTGCTTAACATTTCAATTGGATACTACAGAAATAATCCAATCAGTCCAAATTGAAAGAAAGAACTTGTGTGTTTATATATATATATATATATATATATATATAAACACACAAGTGTTTGTGTGTTTAATATTTAATATTACAAATTGATGTTTACAAATTGGCTGTTGTTTTCACCTACAAATACAGACACTTGACTTCATTATCAACTAGTCCAGCTGTCCAAAATTATATATATATATATATATATATTTTTGGACAGCTGGACTAGTTGATAATATATCAAAAATGAGGACATTGAAAGATTGTGTAATAGTGCTGTTTATTACTTGATATTACTATCATTAGCACATTATAATATTTACAAAGTGCGATAAATATGTGCAATGGCAGACTCCTGCAACAAATATACTTTGACATCTAGAATTTAGTACGGGACTCCTGAAAATTGGAAGAGGGAAATTAAATTGCCTCTTAAAATCCAGTATCTGCTGGTGAGGGGCATATTGCATAGAGAGTCATTTTCTGTTAATGAAATGAGGAGCCATAAGTGATACATCATTTTAGAGGGATTATTTGCTATATAGTCTTACTTATTTTTTTCTTTTTCACTGCTCCCTTTAAAATACACTTTCCCATTTGAGAGGACAGGGAGGGAAACTACTGCTGCTCTCTCTAACTAGATGCTAAAATGTTGATTTGCTCACTGATATTGGGACCTTGGGATGTTCTCCTTACGTGAAAAGCACTCTAATAAATATAGATTTGTATTGTTTTGATATTCCCACTTCCTTATGGGAAAACGCTTTGATTTACTCAGAACCTCACTGCCTTTTAACAGTTCAGCTGAGGTCGGCACCACGAGGTGGAAAGTTCTGGCATAAAGCTAGTACCACAGCTGCTACCTGAAGTGCATTCTGAACTTCATTTAAGACATAGTTAATAGAAAACATGAGTAGGCCCACAAACCTGTCCCACTAACTCTCTTTACTGTTGTGATGGGCAAGCTTCCTTACTCCACATGCCCCTGTTTACCTAGCAGTAAATAGGAACCCGGTTGTTAGTCGATTGGCGGATCTCTTTTCCAGGGGTATTAATTTCTTTTTAATAAAAATAATAAATTGGTCACTTTAATCCACGACTGTTTGTGAGACACTGCTGTGAGCAATTGGCTGCCACATTTTGCCCACAAAATATACAGTCAATTCATTTTACAGTATATTCTGTGAAGTGCTTTGAGACTCTCGAAGATGTTATAAGGTGCTATATCAAATGCAAGTACTCAATCCTGCACATACTCAAAGGAGTATATTAAACTCTCATATATTATCTCCTATATCTGTACATTCTGTAACAATAATGAAGTCAAGTGTCTGTATTTGTAGGTGAAAACAACAGCCAATTTGTAAACATCAATTTGTAATATTAAATATTAAACCCACTCCACGGGGTAAATCTACAGCACTGAATCTCAGCACCAAAAACAAGAATACTATGCAGAGTGTTGATCATAAAGCTAACGAAACACCTATTACATTAGAAAAAGATGCTGACAAGGCATCAACTGTGAAAGGAAGCACTGCAGTAGAGAGAGAACGTACAACTGTGACTATGATCGATGCAGGTAATGCCGATGAAGAAGAACTTCCCGTAACACCCAATGATGATCCAACAAAGATAGATGAAATGACTGAAGATTTGATTCCTGTGAGTTTAGATGATGAATCCGAGGCTTACTATGATTCTAACCTGGACAAAGGAATGGATGATAGTAATCCAGTGGATTATTATGATCAAAACCAAATGGATGAGGATGACGAGGATAACCTGGACACCAGCAATATAGAGGAATCACTGGAGCTGCCCGATACACCAATATACATTTCTGCACCAGAAGAAGACGACAGTCATTTCTTTTTTTATCTGGTTGTAGCTGCCTTTCTGGTTGCGATCATTTACATCACCTACCACAACAAAAGAAAGATTTACATTCTCCTAGTCCAAAGCAGACGATGGAAGGACGGTCTTTGCTTGAGGGTAGTTGAATATCAGCGGTTGGACCAAAATGTACATAATGCCATGCCATCACTTAAGATTACAAAGGACTATATTTTCTAAGTGCATTAATTGCAGCTGTATAAAAGATAATAATTGTCAATCTTATTATATGCATTCGAGTTTGTAAACATCTTTTTCATCTTGTGCTTACGAAAGACTGGCATTGAAAACACGAATACTTGGCCTACATCTATAAATATTACAGCTAAAGCAAATCAATTTGTTACTCATCTTTGCTGGAAACTGTCTTTGCTAGAAAATATTTTTATGTGTGGAGTCCTGTAGCTCAGTGGTTAGAGCACTCGCTTTACGAGCGAGAGACCTGAGTTTAATTCCAGGCAGGGCGAAACCTTGGGCAAGTTTCCTTACTCCACATGCCTAATAATAAACCCTCCAAAACCAAAAACAATAATATATTGGTCATTTTCAATCTACGACTCTTTGTGGGACATTGCTGTGCGCAATTGGCTGCCGCGTTCGCCCACAAATATACAGTCAATTCACTTTACAGTGTGTTCTGTGAAGCGCTTTGGAACGTCCTCCTGAAGTGAAAAGCGCTATATCAAATGCAAGGATTATTATTATTATTATTAAACACTAATGTTGCAACAAAGTGAAATTTAATTATGTTTAATTTAGACATTCAGTCAAAATTTACAAAGTAGTCTCTATATCAATATGTCTAAAATGCCAGCAGTGGTGTATTTTTGCTGCTTTCTTCCAAACCATAAATTAAACTACTTTGAATTTCTTTGTGATGAATAATGCTAAATGGGATTAATCATCCCATTGTAATTAATCGGACAAAAATATTCCGGAAATTCACCAACTTAGACTGGCTAGTTCAGTTGTTAGCACTCTTAACTCTGGGTCAAAAAGTTGTGGGTTCAAGCCCTGTGTTGGAGACTTTGGACTCATACCCTTGGCTAACAATCTAGTGCAATGATTGGGAAACTGCATGGTTGGAGGTGGTGTTTTTAAATGTAATATTAAACCAAGATCCAAGCTATTGTTCAGCTGGACGTTAAAGATCCCATGACATTATTTCAAAAAGAGGTGAGTTTCTGCTAGTGTCTTCGCCAACAATCCCCCAGATAAATTGATAATTTTGTGGGACATTGCTATGTGAACATTTTTTTGCTGATCTCACCTACAAATACACAGTCACTACATTTAACAGCAATTACTGTGCAGCACGTGATGTTTCAACGCAATTCAACTATATATCAAATGTAAGGATAAGGATTGTTACTAATTCAGAGCAGAGCAGGAATGTGATGAAACAATTGTCGTGTGTGTCTGTCTGGTACAAGCACAGCCCTTTGATAATTACTCTTCAGTGTCAAGTTGGGAGACAGATGTCACTGCTCGTGTTGCCCTCTGTCCAATGGAAGAATGTGTTGTGATGAATTTCAGTCAAATTCCATTCAGGTACTTGCTGTCAACTGGCCTGACTGTGAATAAATACATCTCTCTAAGTACTGCATTGCAATGCGCCAAATTCTAATTGAATATTGTCAACGATATTCCTCTGGGGATCCAGTGTAGGCAGGCGAAGATGGAGCCTTATGGGCTCGCAGAGCTGAGTGCTGGAGAGGACTCGAGCTGCAGAGTTCTTGAGAGTCTGCAGCTTGTGGGAAGAAGAGTTGGGAAATCTGGTAAGCAACAGCACAAAAGTTACAAATTGTATCCCAATTTTCATGCTAAAAAAATGACCTGTGAATGTAGAAGAGACCAGTGCTCAAAATCAGCTTTGGGTGTCTTTCTTTCAGAAATTGTCTTTTAAATCAGTTTCTTGTGTTCTCTTGCCAAAAGCATAAAAATAATCAAGTGCACTTAGGAGCAAACATCCTTAACATAAGTGTTCCAGTAATTTGTTTGATTTACCAGTCTTACAAGAATCCTCCTCTCCCACAGTCTGGTGAATGAAAGGACCGTCTTTCAGCAGTAACTGGAGGAGGTTGATTGCGGGATTAGTGGTATTTGCAATTCCGTGACAAGTTGGTGTGGTTGGCCTGCTGAAACCTTATGTTCAGTTCAAAGTGGGTCCTCCAGTGAGTGCAGAGAGGGTCCTACCAATCCACTATCCACGCAGTGCACATCTCTAATAATAATAATAATAATCCTTGCATTTGATATAGCGCTTTTCACGTCGGGAGGACGTCCCAAAGCGCTTCACAGAACACAGTGTAAAGTGAATTGACTGTATATTTATGGGCGAATGCAGTAGCCAATTGCACACAGCAATGTCCCACAAACAGTCGTAGATTGAAAATGACCAATTTATTATTGTTTTTAGTCTTTGGAGTGATTATTATTAGGCGTGTGGTGTAAGGAAACTTGCCCAAGGTTTCGCCCTGTGCCTGGAATTGAACTCGGGTCTCTCGCTTGCAAAGCGAGTGCTCTAACCACTGTGCTACAGGACTCCACATCTGGTTGAAGACAGGACGTTACAGTGGAACGCTCACTCCTACACACAGCACCTGTGACTTTCTCACTCCAGTGCTGTTTTAGGTTATAATCAGGATGTAACTGCTTAACTAACAATAACAACAACAAAATTACATTTGCATAGCGCCTTTCACGTCGGGAGGATGTCCCAAGGCCCTGGACAGACAGAGTTTGGGATCCGAGCTGAGGGTCGGGGTCTGGGAGGGTGAAGGGCAGGGGAGGAAGCAGGGAGATCAAAAGCACGCTCGAAGAGGGGGGGTCTTGAGGTGGATCTTGAAGGAGTAATAATGGTAAAGGTAATAATGTTTATAAATGGGATAGTTGGAGTCAGAAAGCAAACAATACTAACAATAAATCCACAATAATAATAATAATAATAATAATAATCCTTGCATTTGATATAGCGCTTTTCACGTCGGGAGGACGTCCCAAAGCGCTTCACAGAACACACTGTAAAGTGAATTGACTGTATATTTGTGGGCGAACGCGGCAGCCAATTGTGCACAGCAATGTCCCACAAACAGTCGTAGATTGAAAATGACCAATTTATTATTGTTTTTGGTTTTGGAGGGATTATTATTAGGCTCTGTGTGGAGTAAGGAAACTTGCCCAAGGTTTTGCCCTTTGCCTGGAATTGAACTCAGGTCTCTCACTTGCAAAGCGAGTGCTCTAACCACTGAGCTATAGAACTCCACGAAGGTCATGAAGACCTCTTGGCCCATCTCATCCCTCCAGAACACCCAACCTACAGACCTCCCATTCCATCATCATTGCTTTCCGCATTTCGCCCACAAAATATTCAGACAATCCACTTTACAATATAATCTGTGAAATGCTCTGAGATATCTCAATATCTCAATCTCCTATAGTTCACTTTGATTTTTTTTTAATGTGTTCAGTTGTCAGATTCATTTCATGTTTTAGATACATTTGTAGGAAATGTAAGGGTTGTGCAGAAAAGTCAATTATTTTAACCCTTTCTCAACAGATTCCCTCTCCTTGCTGTAACATCAGATGTAGAGAAGCATGATCTGAATGCGTCGTGTCTGTATTAACAATAGCAGCGTGACCTTTCTCTCCTCACACTCCTCTGATCTTTGCTACAATACTGTATTCTGAAAGATGGAGTAGGAGTAGGATGGCAACACCCAATGAGCAGCAAAGCCTCCAGGTGGTTGTACTGATTACAAAGGATTAGTCTGTCCTTGTACTACTGTGTGTCCTAGCGCTGGTGTGTGCAATAGTCTGGCCCAGCGCTGGTGTGTGGATTATGAGTGGTGTTAAAAAACAACAGAAAGAATAGAAATAGAGAAAAGTGAGGAGTGAGTCAGAATTAATAGAAAAGGTAGAAAGGAAAAGCTGTGAAAGATCAATCATCGGATAGAAATATTGAATATAATTTTTGGAGTGCGGAAAATCTTTATGCTGAATCTTGCCTTTTCTCCCCTCTCTCTTCCCTTCTCCTATGCCTATTTCATCTTCATTTCTTTTCTTATTGAGGCAAAGGAATGTATTTCTTTTATATCTAGCTTCATTGCTTTCATCGTTGGACAAAAACATTTGAGACTGCATTCCAGTCAAGACTGAGCTGTGCGCTTGGATTTCTTAGATTTTCCCTTCTGGTCCTGACATGTTTTCTAAATGATTGGAGGATTAAGGAAAGGTAGGATATGCAGGGAGTGGTGTTCTACTGCATGAGTCAAGCAGCACAAACAGAAATGTACAAAGGTGGTCTTTCCCAGGGTATTCAATAATTCCTTATAAACCAAGTCAATAGTAGATCCTGGTATATCACTAACTTACTGAATTGATCATGACCCATGTATGTATGTGTTGCAAGTTAGTAGAGATAGAGGCCATAATAATAATCATAATCCTTACATTTGGTACCCTTACATACATTGAGAACTAGCATTGATTCAAAAAAAATACAAATTTACATTTATTCACTACAGTGAAATTCGATGAATTGAATATTGTATACTGGTTCAGTTTATTAAACAATTTAGAATTCAGAGCTCCAGGAGATGAGTCTCTTTTTATGTTTAGTCTGGTTATATGAGTAGCTTTGTTTATTTGAATAATTTTCACTGTCAAATTGAGTATTCAATTAACAGAATTTCACATCGAGAAGACATTAAGATCTTACCAGGTAATCAGAATGTTAAGAGACAATGTGCCATTTCGATTTTAAAAAACCCTACATTTTAAAAGAAGTATTCAGTGGAGAGACTGTAGATGTGATATTGTGTGTTTGTTAAACAATAATAATAATTTGGTCACTCAATCCAGTACTGTTTGTGGAACACTGCTGTGTGCGATTGACTGCTGTGTTTCGCAATTCGATTAACTATAAAATATACAGTTAATTCACTTTACAGTATATTCTGTAAAGAGCTTTGGGCCGTCTCGAAGACTTCATAAGGCACTACATCAAATGCAAGGATTATTATTATTATTATTTGTTCACAGGCACTAATTCTTGCTGATTCTCACTCATGTTGCTATTGATAGGGAGCTAATTCAGAGAGGGGCTCAGCCCAAGCTACTCAACAAACTTTGCTTTCTGCAATCCTTGCTTTCTGCACTCTCTGCATGGACATTCAGGA